CCAGGAACAAGCTAATGCAAACTCAGAAATTGTCACAGTTTTAACATATTTTCTTGAAATATTGTATTTTCTTTTGGCAAGACAATCCTTCCCTTTGTGTCCTTGTAGGTAGACTATTCATTTTAAAAATACTTCTGTCTTTGAGTCATTGCTCAGTAAAACAGTGCTAGCCAGTGGACATGTGTGGCAGGCCAGATAATAAGACAATCCTTTGTGAAGACCCCTGTCTTTACTGCCTTTGTGTAACTGCTGGCCTTGCAATGTAACTTCCAATATAATGGGACACTTCTTCCTCTTTATACTTCATGCTTTTCAAACTGATGGCCTTGCAATGCAATTTGAGATATTTAAACTCTTTTAGTAACCCATGATGCCACCTGATGCTCGAGTCACAATACGCCAAATCTGCCTTTGTATCTCCTGGCTTGCCTTCCCTATAAAAGTCTCAAAACTCTACCAGGTAGGGAGAGATCACACTCAAGCCTACCGATGTCATGAAATGCCTCCTCCACATTGAAAAAACTAAGCAAATAAAAGAGTGTTAGGACTCAGAACAAGGCACCTTCCTCCTAGAAGTAGAACTTTTTGCAATTCATCAGGGAAAGGTTGAAAATTGAGAACCTGCTTAGTTACTCTGGTTTTGAGAGCTGTAATCCAAGATCAAAGTAAATGTATCCTTTTGACTATACTAAGGAAATCCAAACCTTGATGTGAGTCTATCTTGCTGAAGCCTTGCAGGCTGGTTTTAGTTATATTAACCTCATTTTCATGGTGCTAAGTATTTTTACCAAATTGTAAAACAAGACTGACATCAAAAATAGTGGAAAATAGTGGAATGTGAAAACACAAACACACTCAACGGGACCAAGAATTTAGCTACTTTACTTTGCTGGAACTGCACACAAATAGCTACAAAATGCCTTACTGGCTCTTCAGGCAATAGAATGGAGGTTAGCAAATCTCACTTGGAAGAGTAAATTATGAGCTTGGTGCAAGGAAGGGTCTCACCTATTGTCTTTAAGTACTTCCTTAATGCTGGACCAAAATATCTGATATGCACAAGTAAAGAAGAAAGGATTCTTTGGGATCACAGTTTGTAGAGGTTTTAGTTCATAATCAGCTGCTTCTAAGGCAGGGTTGCATGGTGGAGGAGAAACAGGCCACAGCATGCAGGCAGGAAGGCAGCGAAGCAGCAGCAACAGGACGCTGCCTTTCCTCTTTATATTTATTTATTTATTTATTTATTTATTTATTTATTT